GTCTTAGCCAGGCCTTCCACCTAAGTGGAAGTCCTGAGGCCGTGGAAGTCTCTAGGTTCGAGGGCCCTTAGTGCGGATGGTTGCGCAGTATGTTGAGCTGATAGGCCGCTAGTGCCGCTGTCAGGCAGCAGGCCTCCAGGGAGCAGGCCTCCAGGGAGCAGGCCGCTGGGTCGCGGGAAGCAGAGCCGGGAAGTGCAGGTCGGTTCGCGGTGTGCCAGAGCAAGCGAGCAGCGAGGAGCAAGGAGAGGTTTCGGCTGGAGAGCAAGTCTGAGTCCAAAGGGAGGCAGCGAGCTGGACTCCAAGAGTAGCCTCCGGCAAGTCCTTTGCTCCGAGCCAGTGTTTAGGACTGCTCTGAGTCTGCTTCAGGTAGCTGCTTCTTTTATACCTTCTTATCAGGTTTTAGGCTCAGGCACCATTTGCTTTATCAGTCTTTAACACCCAGTATGTGGCCTCAGCTACTTTCACTCACAGTGCTCTCAGGCACCTTGATATTGTCAGTGTACCTTGTAAATTTTATATGTTCGTTACATTTAGGCTATAAGTCATGTAATAGGATGGCTGTCTCCTAAATGTGAAGTATGGGGTCAAAGAAAATAAATATGCTAAAAAAACATAGGAAATTGTTTAAAATTGATGATTTCAGGTAAAGATATATGATAATTCCTTTTATAATTACAATTTTTCTGTAAGCGTGAAATGAATTTGAAGTGAAAAGTTTCCTTTAAGGGGCCTCCCTGATGGCGCTAGGGGTTAAGTGAAGCATCCACAGCCACTGTACCACGAGTTCGATCCCAGGCCAGGGAGCTAAACCACATGGCGCAGCAGACCTCTCCTGTCTCATCTGCTGCTCCCTTTAGCAGTGTAGTTCAGTGGATCTGCCTGTTTTGCTCCCTACTTTGTCTCTGGTGAATCCTCTCACCCTCCCCACACACCTCTGGTCTGTACCCCTGTTCTTCTATGCATAAGTAAATAAATCTTTAAAAAATAACAATAATGTTAAAATCTAAGCCCTCTCCTCCCTCCCACCCCCAGCAAGGTTTGGGAGGTGTCAGTAGATAAATGGAATTATAAGGTTGCTTTGTGAACCAGGCCTTAAGGCTGATCACCTCTACCCTGAAAGCAGAAGCAGGACCAGGACACATTCTCTGTCAAAGGTGAATGCCTAAGGCCAGACATCCCAGCACTAACGGGCCCAAACTGATTCCCCAGTCATGAAAAGCCCACAAAAACAGGTTGTGAGAGGGAGCCCAAATCCTTCTTCATGCATAGACCACTCCTGTTTTGCCTGATGCATCTCTTAGGAGTGTATTTCAATGAATTCCCCTTTTCTGTTCTCTACTGTCTCTGGTGAATTCTTTCACCCCTGGGTCTCCAGCCTCACCCTGATCTCCTCCCCACAACAATGCACACTAATTGTATTAAAGTTATTTTCCATTAGGTCTCCCAGTAGTGCATCAGTTTAAGCGCAGCACTGTGAAGCTGTCCACAGCCTCCACAGTGCTGCTTCGATTCCTGGCCGGCCAGGGAGATTCCCACATAGCGCTGCAGACCTCTCCTGTCTCCCCCGCTGCTCCCCTCAGCAGTGTTTTCGGTCTGTCTGCCTGTTCTGTTCCCTGCTCTGTCTTTGGTGAATTCTCTCACCCTCCTGCATCTCTGGCCTGTACCCCAGCTCTTGTATAAATAAAATAAATCTTAAAAAAAAGAAGTTATTTTCCATTGACAGTCTTACACACTAAGAGTACGTTGAATGGCAGAACCCATTTAGAACAGATAAGCTTGGGGGTCCTGGGGTATCCCTTACCCTGCTCGCTAGCAATCAATATAAGCAAATATTTTCTCTATTCAATAGGTTGCTATAAAGAGAACTATTTAACTCAATGCTGAAGAGTAACTTCTTTAAAAGCAATCCAGGTATAGGTTACATGGGTTTAACCTTAAAAACAAAAAGAAAACTATAGTTCAGATCTATGCATTTCAATGAATAAATTTTACTTCAAAAAGCAAAATGAAATAAAAATTGAGTATGGGGTGACACAAGAATGACCCAATGTCAGAATATTGGTGTGGAGTCCTAGAATAGGCCCAGTTGATTCTGGTTTGTGTTAAAGTTTGAGAACTCTTGCTTTACACTGATCATGCACATTATCAGTGATCTTAAATTATCAGTAATTGGTTGTAGTGCCAACAATGCACAGAGCAGATTCTCTAAGATCCAGGCAGACAGGTAAAGGAGAGTCCTGGAGTCTCTGTGGGTTTTTCAGGCTTTTATTGAGCTTTTTACACCATTTGTAGTGCGGCACCCAGGTACAAGGAAGGCAGTGGGGCCAGGGAGCCAGGAAGCTGGCAGGCCTCCGAGCCCCCAGCGAATCTTCACTCTTCCTGGGCTTTCTGGTTACTCTCACAGTCTCTGCTTCTCCTTTGCTGCTCTGCTGCTTCTGCTCTTGTTCTGCTGGTGTTCCCTTGATGCCGCCCTTATAAGCCCAGTATCTTAGCCCAGGTGCACCCACTTATGCATGCCCATATCCTACTCCATTTGCCCACCATCAGACATGCATATAGGACTGCAGAGATCTATCATTAATGCTAATGGTGGGAGGGCAGAAAATCCTGACAATTTTCACTTATGCTACATTGGTATTCCAAGAAAACTTCACAGAGACTAATGTTGCTCAAGAGAAAAGGAAACGAGGAAGCAAGAATGTGAAGGAAAGCAAAAATTCAGTTATCAGTTCTTAGAAGATGGCTAAGGGTAAATCTGGATAAGTACCTTCTGTGGGCTCTAGTTAGCCAAAACAACAGAAAGTGTTTGGGAATATATACTACCTTGAGTTCAGCAAGAAACACATGCTTTAGGCAAAGAAGTGCAACCCTTGGTCTACTGGAAAATAAACAGTTTTAAGTCAAATAGGGATTGCAGAAAAACCTTTTTTTTTTTTTTTAGGATTTATTTATTTATGCATACAAGAACTGGAGTACAGACCAGAGGTGGGGGAGGGGTGAGAGGATTCACTAGAGACAGTGGGGGACAGAACAGGCAGATAGACTTAAGTACACTGCTGAGGGGAGCAGCTGCCAAGTCAAGAGAGGTCTGCTGCACCATGTGGGTTGCTCCCTGGCCAACTGAGGGATCGAACTCAGCTGCAGTGGCTGCAGACAGCTTCATAGGTTGTGCCTCAACCCATGTGCCACCAGGGAGGCCCCTACAGAAAAATCTTAACCCTTTGTTTCAATGATTCTCAAAGTTTGGTCTCACCACCACCCAAGAATCTACTAGAATTGCAAATTCCTGGCCCCCACACTTGAATCAGGAACAATCCATGTATAACAAGCTTGCCAGTTGATTCTGGTTTATATTAAAGTTTGAGAACTATTGTTTTACACTGATCATTCACATTATCAGTGATCTTAAATTGCCAGTAATTGGCATTCCATTTGTTTGAATATTTCCATAAAAAAAGGTTAAAAAACTCAAATAGAGAATATATATATATATATTAGTTTTAAGATAAGAAAATTAACCTAGGGAAAAAAGAATCTGTATATTTGAGAAACAACAGACTAGTACTTCTCAAATTGTAAAAAAAAAAAAAATTTAAAAATTTCAAACCTCTGTGCACTAAAACCTTTGTAAAAATAACTATAAAATAAAAAAAAAATCTAAATTATTTTATTTGATTCAGTAGAAAGTTTTGTCAATTGCTATGAATGTTTCTAGACATGTTTTCTCACATTTCATTTTTGTTAGGGACTAGTAATGTTTTTTTCACCAACATGTTCCATGGTCCACACTAAATAAATGATTCTGAAATTATGCACTCAAGGAATTCTGCTACTTTGTAAATTCCTAATAGTAATATAAAGTAATAGTTACAAATAAATATAAACATTGTGAACATGGAGATAACTGCATATAAACACCTTTTAAAGTAACATATATTGAATCATTTAAAATTTCCTGAAAAGCTATTAGGTAAGTACTATTATTATTCCCTCCTTATAATTCTTACAGCAGACAGGTTAAATAACTTGGCCCAGTTCATACTTCTAGCAAGTGCTGGAGATAAAGATTCTAAATAGCTAAACTAGCTCTAGATCAGACTCTTAACCACCTGCATTATTATTAGCTTTATTTCCTAGGCAAAGGTGTTCCTTTTCCTAACTCAGTGTGCCAATTTTTCTAACTTTTTTGATAAAATGAATGAATAGAATTTTCTCCTCCTGTGGGAGTGGGGTGGCAACTTGAAAATAAGCAGATGAAATACATTTAAGCATATTGTATTTCCAAGAGATCGCCTTCTTATTCCTAGGTAAGAATTCACCCTGACTAGAGTGGAGTACACCAGTTTTAAGGACAAAAGGTCAGTGCTTAAGGGAAACTGTGATTTTTAACAGTGAGGTGATTATAACTTGGTTCTCATGTTTAGCCTCACTATCTCATGCCTATATTTTTAAGGATTTTCTTTGCATAACGTGGAAAAGGCTGATTTATTAGACTTGGAAAGACACAGGACCTAGGGGATCTAGTTTGATAAAAAGATACAGTAAAGGAATCATTCCTTCTTCAGCAAATCCAGTGCAACTTTGATATGGGCTGATAATCCTTACTATAGGCCAGAGACAGTTGACTGCACCATCTTTGCAATAATGGAGTCCTCTGAACCTAGCAGTGGTTGTGCAAGAGCTTCAAATGGTGATGATGCTATTGAGGTGACGCATAGAACCAGGAAAGTGGGCATGGTTGCCACAAGGTCAGTGAGTATGTTGCAAAACTCCTCAAATAGTTGGAAAAGACTTTGAAGGAGGGCTCAAACTGGACAGATTCAGCAGAGTCTGTGGATGCGAGTCTGTGTCAGCCAGTGTCACTCATTTTCAGTATGAACTGACTACCAAAGTGATATAGTCTGAAAAACATGAATTCTACTCCCACATATTTTTTAAGGCTTTGAAGTTTGTTATTACTTAACCAGTGAGTAAATAACAAATACTAAGGGAATATTCCGCAAAGTTTCTTTATTTTGAAATAATGATAAATCTGTTACAGGACAAGGAGAAGCACCCCAGAACCCTCAAACCTGCCTGCTCTAAATAGATTCTACTATCTGCCTCATCAAGACAAAACACACTCTAGTATACAAGACCATTAATCGAAAGGAATTTTAATACAATTAGTGTGCAATGCACAAAAGACAAAGAATATAGTTCCAAATCAAGCACCCAAAGTTACCCATCCCCTTGTGGGTAAAAGTCCACCCAAATAGGGTTGGCCCAAAGCAGGGCCACTAAGGCCTGATAACCTGCCACAAGTCTAAAGCATCTTCTGGTGGGTACCCACAGAAAAGGGTCAGAAACAGACAAGTCTGGAAGGAAAAAAGCAAAATCAAAATCAACACCGCCATTGTTAACCTCCCCAAGGGTCTTTCACCCACATCTGTTTGAATCAGTCCAGGACCAAAAGGCAAGTGCAGCTTCTTCACATGTCTCTCTGCTCCTTCAGGTATCCTTCTGGCTCTCCATTCTTCTTCCCTCCTCTCCAGTCTCCTCTTCAGCTGCTTCTCCTCCCTTCTCAGCTCCACCCTCCCTTGGGTGGGGCAGGGTCCCTTTTCCTGGGGACCACCCTGTTACAGATTCAGTGTTTAAAAAGTATAAAAATAAGTCAAGTGTATCCTTCACCCAGTTTCTCCTAAAGGTAACATCTTAATAACTATAGTACAATATCAAAACCAGGAAATTAACAGTGGTACATCCACAAAACATTCAGATTTTGCCAATTTTACATACATTTGTAATGTGTCTAAAGTTCTTTACAATTTCATCATGTACGGATTTGTATAATTGTTACAGGGCAACCCCAATGTGATATGGGTTGCCTGACTGGGGGTCCTCACCCATGAGCTTAAAAAGGACTTAAAATTAACCGCAGGCACACACAAAAAGGTTAATAAAGGGTTTATTTACAAAAGGGGTAATAAATTAATAACTCAAAGAGAAAGAGAGGGAGATTAATTGGGGGAATGCATCCCACCACCAGTTCCACTGAGCTGGAACTCCAACAGCATGATGAATGAAAGCCCGTGAAAAACCAAGAGACCCCCAAGGCCCCACATGTCTGGTTATATACAAAACCTGGCTGCTTAACTCCACCCTCAGTTCCCAGCAATCCTCCCTTCGGTGGTGAGGACATTATGGGATTTGTAATCCTTGGTGTCTAGGATCTCTTTGGTCTTGGGTAGGGGGGTGGGGGTCCATAAAATCTGTTTGTGGAGTTTGTTCAGGACATCCTTTCCCCTCAACATAACCAGCTCCACAGTCAAGATGCAGAACTGTTCTATCACCATAAACATCCCCCATCCTATTCAGTGTGGTCATACCCTTCCCACCTTGCTGTTAACCCCTGGCAATCATTTCTGTTCCCCATTTCAATAATTTTGTGATTTGGAGAATGTCATGTAAATGGAATCATAAACTTGAGGCTTTTTTTATTCCATATAATTTTAGATGTTTCAATTTGGGAAATACATGTTAATGATTGTGATTTTGTATCTGTCATGGAATAAAATATCAAGTATCTACTGCCTCAGATTTCACCTATGGCTGGTCTTATTTCTCACCTACTTGGCATCTTTGTATTACTTTATATCATTTTTAAAAATTACAATTATTGAGGAAAAGTCAGTTTACATCATTCTATTGGTTTTAGGGGTTATAAATTCAAACCTCAACAATTGTATGTTTGTACACCATGCCTACCACCATTACTTTATATCTCTCTCTTTTTTTTAAGATTTATTTATTTACGCATACAAGAGCTGGGGTACAGGCCAGAAATGAGGGGGGTGAGAGGATTCACCAGAGACAGAGGGGAGAGCAAAAAAGGCAGATTGACTGAAATACACTGCTGAGGGGAGCAGCAGGCAAGATAGGAGAGGTCTGCTGTGCCATGTAGTTAGCTCCCCTGTCTGGCTGGGGAGAGAACTCTTGTGCCCTGCTGCAGTGGCTGCTGATAGCTTCATAGTGCTGCGACTTAACCCCTTCCGCCACCAGGGAGGCCCCCATTACTTTATATCTTAAGAATAGGGTGGTTAAATGTTAACTACCACAGATTACTGGAATGCCTTAAGGCAAGTGTTCAAAGGTTACATTTTGTCCTAACATCATGATGGTGGGAGGAAGGTCTTATCAGATGAAGGTGTTCCAGGATCATTTCTTAAACAAATTAGGAAAAAAACACAGGTAAAGAAGGTAAAAATGTTAGAAAACTTATAAACTAGATTTTTGTAACTGTCTTGCTTTTCAAAAGTATGGTGCAAGTAACAATAATGTGTTACTCTGTGAACCGTCAAGGAGCCAGAAAACAACATAGAACTCTCATGTAAAACCAGGTCATGTATGTAATATCAGATCATTCCAGAAGTTCAGAAACTTCTAAGATTACAAAAGGCCAGTTTTTCTGTCTTATGGACTATGGAAATTGCTAGGATTCATTCTAAAAGTGGTTCTAAAAGATTAATTCCTTTTACTTACTGTCTTTGAATCAGAAGGACTCACAAACCTTTGGGAACTCACTCCATTGTTTTTAAAAAATTTATGACCAGGTGGTGCAGTGGGTTAAGCACAGCGCTGTGAAGCTGTCCACAGCCTCTGCAGTGTGGGTTTGATTCCCAGCTGGCTGGGAGAAACCCACATGGCCCGGCAGCCCTCTCCAGTCTCGGCCGCTGTTCCCCTCAGCAGTGTTTTCAGTCTGACTGCCTGTTCTGTTCCCTGCTGTGTCTCTGGTGAATTCTCTCACCCTCCCACGCCTCTGGCCTGAACCCCAGTTCTTGTATAAATAAATCTTTAAAAAAAATAAAATTTATGGCCAAGCAGCAGGGTAAAAGGAAAAGGTTTCACCTTGTTTTCTATTCTGAACTATTACTGTTGTAAAACTTATTTATTTAGGAAATGCTATTCAATTTTGTTCAACTTAGTCAACTGTCTGTACATGGAGACTTTTCAAAGTTAGTGTTAGTAATATGGACAGTGAGTTTCAAGAGGTCTACATTTTAAAAAATTTACTGAAGTAACATTGCATTATAACAACGTTTTAGCTATGTGCTACTGAAAGTCAACAGGTATAAATATTATATTAAGTTCACCACTAAAAGTGCAATGTTGTTCTTCACCATTTATCAATAATTGTCTCCTTTTACCCAATTTACCTACCCCTTCTCTCCCCTTCCTATTGGTAACCACTAACTATGGTAACCACTAACACATATAGTTACTTCTATATATGTGAAGCTATATGGCATTTGTCTCTCTCCATCTGACTTATTTTAGCATAAGTCATAATAGCCTCTAGGTCCATTCTAGGACCATTCATGTTGTTGCAAAGGGTAGGCTTTATCCATTTGTTAGCTACCTTAAGGCACAGGATTATGAGAGAGACATCTATACAGGTATTTATATAGATATATGTAATAATGGCTGTACCAAAAAAGTATAGCTTTGGGAAATCATTTTGCCAATATTTATCAAATTTGAAAATGCTCATACTCTTTCTTCTGCAATTGTACTTTTAGAAATCTTGTTTTTAAATGTAATTATGTATGTCCAAAGATGTTCATACACACATGTTCTTGGCACTATTGTTATTTTAAATAAAAACAATGTAAATTTCCATTATTTTGTAAATGGTTAAAGTTACATGAAATTATTAAATATATGTAACATTAAATAGAATTAACTAGATAAAAAGTACTGACATGAAAAAAATTATCCAGGTCTTTAAGTGAAACAAGCAAATAAAAATGGTGAAGCTTTAGAAGGATATAACACATAATTGTTACACGGGGTATCCTGGGCAGGGAATAGTTTGCAAAGAATAAGAACTCTTCACTATATCTTATTGTTTGATACTTCCAAAATAAGTATATATTACTGATGTAGTTAAAAATAATAAGGAAATTTCATCTCCCAAAAGAACAAATGCAAGACTACATCAGCTATTTATCTTACTGACATTTTTTTTTAAGAGTGGAAATTTATTTTTTTTAAAGGTTTATTCATCTATACAAGAGCTGGAGTACAGTCAGAGGCGCGGGAGGGTGAGAGAATTCACCAGAGACAGAGCAGAGCAGAACAGGCAGCCAGACCAAAGACACTGATGAAGGGAGCAGCGGGGCGGGGCAGGGCAGGAGAGGTCTGCTGCGCCATGTGGGTTTCTCCCTGGCTGGCCAGGAATCGAACCTGCACTGCAGAGGCTGCAGACAGCTTCACAGAGAGGCGCTCAACCCGCTGCGCCACCGGGGTGGCCCCTTACTGACATTTTTTTTTAAATTTTTATAAATTTTATTTTTATATTCCCCATACAATTGCAACCCCTTTATTTTGACCCCAATCCCTCACCTCCCCGCCCCCCCTCCCCTCATAGAGTGTCTCTGGTTCATAGTTTTTGTTGATTTTGATTTTCACTTTCTTATAGTTATTCATTTTCCTGGTCCCTTATTTAAGTTTTCTAGATTCCTGCTATGAGTGAGACCATCTGGTATTTTTCTTTTTCTTTCTGGCTTATTTCGCTGAGCATGATCCCTTCCAGCGCCATCCATGTTGCTGCAAATTGCATGTGTTTATCTTTTTTGATTGCTGAGTAATATTCCATGGTGTATATGTACCACATCTTGATCCAATCATCTATTTTTGGGCATTTGGGTTGTTTCCAAAGCTTAGCTATTGTAAACAGTGACATTTTTAATGTCAGTCTGATGAGGTAGGGTAGCAGTGTTTATAGTTGCAACTTAGTATTTGAATTTAATGTGCAAAACAAAATATACTTGACCATCTGGAAAGAGGATTTGAGGTTAGCTACAGTTCTTTTAAAAGGGCCTCACCAAATAAGCTGTATAAAAAATTTCAATAATAAACTGACCCAAGAATCCATTCAACCATGAAGGCTGGAACTTGATCTTCTTGGGTATCCTTGCAGTGCCTGGCAAAGTAGATTTAAAAAACTGACTGAATGACGGATGAATCAACAGTTTAAATCTTTTTAGTAGCACCCACTTACTTAAAAAAAAAAGGAAATTAACAAAGATAGATGATTGAGATTCTTGTTACTCGCTTTTCAAATGAGAAGACGAAAGGGAGCAGACCCCCTCTTTCTGCTCACGTTAAGAATTTGGTCCAGGATGTGCAAGGGTTCATGTTTTGGTAATCTGTGAATTGAAAAGTTATTCAATTTCAGATTTATATATTACAGTCAGCCCTATAATTTATATTATACTCAGAGCATAAACGGAAACAATAAGCAAGCCTCCACTAGTTACAGATACAAGAGTGTAAATATTTGCTCAGTCATATATGTAACCATTTACATAAACGTGTACACACACTCAGCCTAGAGAAAGGCATCTAGTGGCAAAATGTTGTCTTCGGTGGCAAACGTTTCCTGGTGTCAAACTGTGGGCAAACCACTGTGTCTAAATTTTCACCCGAGAAACGCGAAACATGCCCTCACAGGTGTGCTGTCTGTTTACAAAATAACGTGGAAACTTTCTGTAAATGATGGCGATCTCGCGGCCATTCCATCTAGAGTAATTACTGTCTGATACAAATTCAATCCCAGACTGCCCGGTCGCAGAGCACCCAGACACTAAAGTAAAGCAGCACAAAAAGTCAAATGTTGCCAAGTTCGGGGCAGCGTTGCCCCTCCTTCACCTTCACCCCAACTACACCTAACGGGACTCCCGGTGCGGGTCCCAGACGTCGCTTCCCGGCTCCGGGCGGGGCCCGCGCGGCCGGGGCTCACCCTCCCGGGTCTGGAGCCGCGACGCCGCCCGCGCGCCGGGCCTCGGACGTCGAGCGGGGAGCCGAGCCCCCCTCAGCCTCGCCCACCCGGGGCGACGCCCCCGCGTCTCTGGGGCCCCCGAGGGACACTCCTACCTACTCCCCGCAGTCGGGTCCCCGACGCCTTTCCCGCCGGCAGCGGGAGGTGTCCGAGCGGGCCCCCCGCGGCGCAGGGGCGGGTAGGCCGCGGCCCCGGCGGGGCGCGGGCGGGGCGGCGACGCGGGCAGCACAAGGCGCGCGCTCCCGCGAACGCGGCGGGCGGCGGGCGGCGGGGGCGGGGTCTCCGGGCGGCGGCAGGAAGAGGGCGCCCGGGAGCCGAGCCGGAGGGCGGCCGCGGGCGGGGCCGCGGGAGGGCGTGGACACCGAGGAGCTGAGGCGAGGCGGGGACGCGCTTGCGGGGTGGGGAAGGCGGGGGCGCGGCGGTGGCGGGAGCGTCCCTGGTCTCCGCCCCTGCTTCCCACTCTCCTTCCACCTCCGACCGGGGCTCGGGAGAGGCGCCGCTCGCCGGTCCCCGGAGCCGCCCTGCTGCCGCCGCTTCCCCCCTGCGCTCGCGGTGAGCCCGTCAGTCCCCGCTCGGTGCGCTGCTCCGTCTGGGCCATGGATGGGTAAGTGCGGGGCGGCCGCGCCGGGCGGCGCTGGCCCCTCTTCCCCTCGGTTCCCGGCCGGGCGCGTCGAGGCCGGGAAGCGGGGCGCGGCGCCGGCGGCCGAAGGAGCGGTCCCGACCGAGCCCGACGGCGGGGCTTCCGGGCACCTCCTCGGGGAGCCCCGAACTGCGGAGGGGCGGTCCTCCCTCCGCAGCCTCGCCTCCCCCACGGGCGCCCCCGTCCCGGGCGCCCCTTCACACCCTCTCGCTCGCACAGCGGGGAGCGGAGGCGAGCCCGGGGCAGCGGCCGGGGCCGCCCTCCGCCCGAGAGCCGGGGCAGCCCGGCCTCCCGACACTTCCTCTCAGAAAATGGTGCGCGGCGCTGGGGGGGGCGGAGGCGACGCTCGGGGCGGGCGTCCTCCCGCTTGGGGAGTTGCTGTTTACCGGCGAGGTGGGGCGAGCGCCGGAGCTTCCCCTGGCGGGGAGGCCAGTGGCCGAGGGGAGGCGGCCCGCGACGGCTCGCGTCGGGACTCGTCCGGGGGACGGCGGCTCCGGGTGCTGCGCCCCCCGCGCGCGCTCGGCTTGCGGGGGGCCGGCCCCGGGCTCGCGCTGTGGGCGGGGGTGTCGCGCTCTGGAGCCCAGACGTTCGGACTTGCGACCGGGGACCTCCCTCTCGTACGCCCCCGAAAGAAACTTGGAGAATTCGCTGCCGAGCTCGAGAACTACCGTAGAAGTGCGGTTTTCGCGGAGCTTTCAAACGCGGTAGGCGTTCGTGAAGCCTGTGACCAAAATGAAAAGATTGAGCATCAGTCTTCGCTGGGAACCCAGGGGTATGGGGGTGGGACTTGACGTCTTAATGATTAAGGAAACAACTCGATTAGGATCTTGGTGAATTAATTGAAGATCGTAGTATATGTACATTAGGGTTTTTGAAGATCTCCAGCTCTACTATTAGAGCCTGCAAATCCACTTATCTCTGCCCATTATGCATTTGAGGTTTTGTTTGGCCTTTTACTTGCGTTTGATGACAAGGTTTCTAGAAACCCTTTAATTGTAGAAAAACTTACTTGAACTGTAAAGGCTGTGTCCATGTTGCCACTTAGTTGAGCATTGTTGTGCCGTGTAAAGACGATGGACTCTTTCAGCAATTTTTGCCTTCATCAGATAATATTCATCCTAGTTTCACAGTATTAGCTCTGTATGATATATTGGATTAACTCATTTGAATGCAGATTACACACTGCCGCAGACATTAGACAAAGTGCAATTTTAGGTTTTATTTATGGTTGTGATGGTCTTTGAAGTATTGCTTTACTTAATTGAAGTTATTTTTATTGCTTAATTGAAGCTTCTCTGAGCATTGTTGAAAATTCATTTTACACTACTTTATTCAATTTCGCACTTTACATGTGTGCAAAATATTGCTATTTTAATTATTTCTGTAATTATGCCAGTATTTCAGTTCCGGAAGACTGAAATGAGTGTTTCATTTTGAGTAGTAAATTGTCCTTAGACGGCTTGCTTGAGATGTGGAAACAGTCTAGCTTTTTGTTTGGGGAAAATTAAAGTGATAATAAAAAGGACTTTTGGTTATAGGTCTTGGTTGTTGTACTCGAACAATTATGAAAAGCAAACTCTTTCAGATAGTGTTTAAGAAATTAATTCTTAGCCCAATATGTGATTTTTAAAGGGAAGAATTGCTTTTTGGGTTTAAATACAGAGGGAAATAAGACAGGTCATTGGAAGGTTAGTTCATCTGAGAGTTCAAGTAGGAGCATGATTTGACCAGTACTGTAGTATAAACACAACCTTGTTTTTTATGCGCAAAACACCAGCTATTTAAATTTCAGAGAAATGAATTTCAAGTTTCAAACGTTTATAAGGAACAATGAACCTACACAGATATTACTTAAAACAAAGTATCATCATTAAACAGTCCAGTCATAAATGTTTACTTTCATTAATGATGACATAGGTTATTAATGATATGTAGTTTTAGTTTTCATTTAGGAGGACTGAGGCAAACTTAATTGAAGATAGTTTCCTTGGTGTTAGGGGAGAGAGAGATTTTTGTTCAGCAGATCTTTGTATGGACTTTTTTACACTTTGGCCTAAAGGGATGTGATTTTGAAGGAAGAAATTTTGCTTTTAGGGGGCTAATTAAGTCTCTACATTTTTCCATAGCCAGAAAAAATTACTTTTTCATTATTTTGGATAGTTAACAAACCAGCCAGCCACCAGTCAACCTATCTGTCTTAGTTTCCCTCAAATCCCAACTGTCTTGTGTGCATGTAAATGTTCATTTCCTTCTGAGATAATTTACACTTGACCACAGTTTTAATGTGGTAGAATTTTTTAACAAAGCAAATCTTTGAAAATTGTCATATCCAAACTTTGATGTTTGTGGTTTTTTTTTAGTGCCGAGAGACTATCTTAGCTATATTTTAGTGGCAGATATAAATTTGTAGCTACCTTTTATTTCTATGAAATCTGCTCACTGGTTTTATTTCATTTAAAACATCATACTAATGATTTAAAGAGTAAACTTTGATGATTTTAAGTTTTGGCTTGTTAAATGGAGGTAAATGAATAAACACACGTTTTATTGAAGTACACCTATACTGTTCTAAATACTCAGAGAATTTGATTTATTATTTCTTACATTGCTATGAAAGCTTTGCTTTTACACTTTGCTGTTGCCTGACTGTCCCATCACTTTTTTCTTTGTATTAACATTTCGCAATTCATCACATTCTTATTTTTATTATTTGTTAATATAATGCCTTTTCTTTTTTCTTTGATCTTATTTCTGTCTTTTAAAAAACTTGTTCTCTAACTTTGTTTTCCATTTTCTCTTTTTACTTTTTCCATACAGTGTTGTTACAGATCTTATAGCAGTCGGTTTAAAGGTAGGAATCTTTTACTATCCTTTCATAAGCATTTTTAAATCTTACTTTTAGCATTTTTTCCCAATGGTGAAACCATCTCACCTTTTCATAAAATTATTTCTTTTAATGTATGATAATGATCTTTAATTTTTATTTAACTCTCAAATAAGTAGACCTGTAGCTGTTTTTGTATTTTATATCCTTGTAAAGTGGGGCTACAGCATTGTCTTGTGTATCTAAAATGTGAATAGAAAGCTTAGCCTAAAGTTTCATGTGAACTCTCAGGTTTTTGTTTGTTCTGTTTTAGCAGTTAAATATAACCCAGGCTCTGATTTATTTTCCTATCATGTCCTTTCTTATATCTTCTCCTGAATGTGCTTATGAGTAATAAAATAATAATAGCAGCTGAAGTTTCTTTAGTTCATACTGTATGCTAGCTGTTTTATTACATATATTTTCATTATTCATTGTAATAGCCCTTCAAGGTAGGTATTAATAATCCTATTTTAGAGGTGAAAAAATAGGTTCAGAAAGTATGTGTTCATTGTGTGGTGCACCAGAATTCAAACCCATGTCTTCCTGATTCCAAAGCCTGACTTTTTTCCCCCCATTGTACTGAGCTGCCAGTAAGGAGGGTTCTGTTTGAAAGGTGAGCAGCCACAGAGCTGGATAATTCATATTTTACAGTAATCATTCTTCTGAATTCTTGGTCATTTCAGTTTTTATCAAAGTCTCGTTTATTGAATTCTAAAATAATAATCAAAAGTAAACAAAGTTCCTCAAGTGGGTGTCTTAAGGTTTTTTTTTTTTTTATCAATTTGGTATTTGATATAGCTGAGTTGAGCCACTTGCAATTCAGATTACTGTAGAGAATAGAAATAATTCATGTTTATATTACATGTATTTTATGTAAACTTGTTCCACCACTTTGTCCATTGTCTTACTAACAGTTTCAGGTATTATGAATTGTACTTTTTGAAGCCGATGGTGGTGCTCATAATCTTAAAACACCTTAAAAATAAGCATCTTAAAAGCAAGTATCATTTGAGACTAACAGTAAGATGTCCAGGATTAACATAATTGGGAATTACAATATATATCTTTTTATTTTTTAAAGATTTATTTATCTATGCATACAAGAACCCGGGTACAGGCCAGATGTGCGGGAGGGTAAGATTCACCAAAGACAGAGCGGGGAACAGAACAGGCAGACTGACCAAAACACACTGCTGAGGGGAGCAGCCGGCAAGACAGGAGAGGTCTGCCGTGCCATGTGGGTATCTTCCCCGGCCGGCTGGGATTGAACCTGCACTGCCGAGACTGCGGACAGCACTGCACTCAACCACCTGCGCCACCAGGGAGGCCCACAACTTACATATCTTTTGGAGTAGGGTGAAATTAACTACTGTGTGGAAAGTATATATCTGGATGATAAATGAAAGAAATAATGAAATGTTAGGCTTAGGAGCTGTATTTGAATACGTGATTTGTTTTTGTTTGATGGGTTAGAAATGAAGGTTATTGTAGGTAATAGTACATACTCAAGAGTGAATGTGGGCAGATTCAGAGGAAAATTGTCCATGATTTGGTTTTTTCAGTGCCTGCAAGCACTTTGAAAACAAAGATCCTTAATAAAAAATAAGCTGATTAGTTCATTAGTTGGGCAATCTATATTTTTATAGATTTAATTACTGGAAATGTCTGTAAAATTATTTACTCCATAGTGAAGTTTCTCATAAGATTGTTCTACTTCTTTCTTGGAAACTCTCCAAGGAAGTTTAGCTACCAGGTAATAGGCCAATATGACTCATTTCTCTAGATTGTATGAAACAAAATTAGTGAGTTTAAATAAATCCTTCTACAATACCAGTTACTTATTTCCTCTATTTGTTGTCTGAATATGATGATATAACAAACAGTTTTCACCAGTGGCAAAGAATGGATTTTGTGTTCTGCTCCCCCTAAGTACTTCCCTGGATTCAGAAAAGCAATGTGAGTTTCATTTTAAAGATTTAAAAATATCCTTAAATATGAAGTTCATGGTTTAGGCAAAGAAAACAATTGTTTTTAGAGATTAAGTGATTCACTTAAGAGCGTGTCATGAGAACTGAAATTTTTTTATCTTTTCTCCATTATGGAGTTTCCAGTGTCTGGATTAAGCTCTCAAAAATACTTGATGAATGAATATTAAATTATCATACAGTGGGTGGCAAACTTATTCTGGAACTAAGTCTTCTGATTTTGCTAGTGTTTTTTTCTAGGTATACCCTATGATGAGAGAATTAAATTCATTTATTAGGCTTGGAAGTTTTTTTGAAAACAGTTATATATCTTCAAACTACTTAGGTCTGGGCCATATTGTGTTTGAGATTTATTTATACTGAGTTGTATGCTCTGGATGGTTTATGCAGATTGTTGATTTTTTTTAAAGATTTATTTATTTATGCATACAAGAACGGGGTACAGGCCAGAGGTGTGGGCGGTGGGAGGATTCACCAGAGACAGAGTGGGGAACAGAACAGACAGATCAACTGAAAGACACTGCTGAGGGGAGCAGCGGGCGAGTCAGGAGAGGTCTGCTGCGCCATGTGGGTAGCTCCCTGGCCGGGGATCGAACTCATCCTGCAGTGGCTGTGGACAGCCTCATAGGTTGTGTCTTTACCCCTTGAGCCACCAGGGCGGCCCCATAGGTTGCATCTTAACCCCTTATGCCACCAGGGAGGCCCCAGTTTGTCAATTTTTGAGCCTTACCTAAATCAAGAAAATTAACAAAACTAGAAAATTAATAAAGCTAGAAAATTAACAAAATGTCTCATGAAGTATATGTTTTATTTCCTTACGTTATTTTGTATTTTGAGATTTTTTTTAGAAAAATTATTTATTTTTTATACAAGAACTGGGGTACAGGCCAGATGCGCAGGAGGGTGAGAGGATTCACCAGAGACAGAGTGGGGAGCAGAACAGGCAGACTGAAAAAATACACTGCTGAGGGGAGCAGTGGGCAAGACAGGAGAGGTCAGCCCCACCATGTGGGATTCTCACCAGCTGGCTGGGATGGAACCCGCGCTGCAGAGGCTGTGGACAGCTTTACAGTGCGGCACTTAACCGCCTGCGCCACCAGGGAGGCCCTGTATTTTGAGATTTTTTTGATTAAACCTTGAGAAGTAATTACCATCCTCAGTTTTGAATTCTTTTAAGTGAAGAACAAACCAGGTGATTATGAGTGATACTGGGTATGTTTCAAGAACTTTATCACACCAGATAAATCAGGGTGTCAGCATTGTGGGTAATAGCTGTGTGTGTGTGTATGTACCTATGTGTAGTTTAATTTTCTAGCTTCTACTTTAATTATTACTGGCAAATTTATTTTAAACTAGGTTTTTGTCCATTCCTGGTTGTTTTTTCTAGATACTATAGTAGTTAAAATAAATTAATTTTTTAAAAAATTATTTATTTATGCATACAAGAGCTGGGGTACAGGCCAGAGATGCAGGAGCTGAGAGGACTCACCAGAGACAGACTGGGGAACAGAACAGGCAGACTGACTGAAATACACTGCCGAGGGGAGAAGTGGGTGAGATAGGAGAGGACTGCTGCGCCATGTGGGTAGCTCCCTGTCCGCCCGGGGATTGAACTCGTATTGCAGAGGCTGTGGATTGCTTCATAGTGCAGTACTTAACCCCTTGCGCCACCAGGGAGGCCCGAAAATAAATTAATTTTTATTAATTTTTTTTTAAGATTTACTTATACAAGAACTGGGGTATAGGTCAGAGGCACCGGAGGGTGAGAGAAATCACCAGAGAGAGGCGGGAGCAGAACAGGCAGACGGACCGAAGACACTGCTGAGGGGAGCAGCGGGTGGAACAGGAGAGTCCTGCCACGCCATGTGGGTTTCTTCCTGGCTGGCCAGGAATCGAACCCATGCTGCGGAGGCTGTGGATAGCTTCACAGCTCAGTGCTCAACCCACTGTGCCTCTGGGGAGGCCCAAATTAATTTTTTTTTTTTAATTAAAGACTTTTTTTTAAGATTTATTTTTATTTATTTATACAAGCACTGGGTACAGTCAGAAGCGTGGGTGGGTGAGAGAATTCACCAGAGCCAGAGCGGGGAGCATAGCAGGCTGAAGGACCGAGGTACACTGCTGAGGGGAGCAGCGGGCGGCAGGAGAGGTCTGCGCGCCATGTGGGACCCTCCTCCCATGGCCGGGGAGCAGTCGGGGATCCAACCGGCGCTGCAGAGGCTGCGGGCAGCTTTTGCAACCCAGCGCTCAACTGCTGCGCCACCGAGGAGGCCCCCAAATTAATTTTTAAATGATTTTTTCCATATAAAAAGTTTTAGACTTTTTCTGGGTTATCGTCCTTTTGTAAGTACTCATGTGAGAATAGAATAGATGTAAGGTTAAGGAAGACTGTAATTGGTTTCTAATAATTATCATGCTTGTCACTTATAGGAAAATACATTTCTGTGTATTTAAATTAATTTTGAAGATCGACTTTGAATTTTTTGACCCAGGGGTTAGCAAACTACAGCCTATGGACCAAATCCAGTTTGCTGCCTCATTTTGTAAATAGTTTTATTGGCATACAGCCATGCTCCTTCATTTCCATATTGTCTGGCTATTTTCATGATACAATGAAAGAGTTGAGTGGTTGTAACAAAGATCATGTGACCAGAGTACAAAATATTTACTATCTGGTACTTTGCAGAAAGTTTGCCTACTGCTGTGCTTGAACTGTGGGGAAAATAGAAAGCCTTTGTGGCAATTTTTTTTTTCTTTTAATCTGAACTGTAATTTACATATAGGATATGAACAGTCTGAAGGGTGTGATGCAAATAGATTTTGACAAATGTATGCACTTGTGTTTCTTACTTACAAATCAAGACAACAGTACACAACTCCAGAAAATTCCCTACTACCTTTTTCCAGACTTGAGTTAGGCAACTGTTGTGAGTTGCTTCTCCACAGATTAATTTTGCTTGTTTCTAAACTTCATATATACACATACAGAATAAGCTCTCT